TCTTCTAAGAATTATATTCTTAGTATACCTGTATTACAAAAAAGGTATACTCGACTACTATTATTGTATTTCAAATAAAATTTGTGCAAATTTGTTTCTCTCTTATTATAAAGTACCTACAGAATATCTCAGTTTTGTTTCTTGGCCTATAAAGCTTAACATTAACTATCTGACTCTTTACAGAAAAAGTTGGCCACTCATGAGCTAAACAATGTACAAGAAATCAATTTAGTCAGGGACATGACAACAAAATTATTTTTCTCACCAGCCTTACCATTTTTAAAGTGTAATTTTGCTAAACATGGGGCTTTTTACAAATGCATGTTTTGCAATATAGCAGAAAAACCTGCAGTAATTACTGAGTAATGGACAGACCTTCCAGAAGCTCAATACCCTCCTCTGGCCCAGGCTTAAAGAGGCTAGGCCAGTCTGGACATGTGCTCATCTGGCCAGGAACACATCATTAATCTCAGCAGTATGTCTACGGATACAGTACAGTACCAAACACTCATTCATCACCCTCAGCCTTCCAGACTAACGCATCACGGTCCAGGTTCATTCTTGAACCTAGAACTGCAAAATAAGAACAAAGGTCCATCGCTGGGGTCATAACAGTAGTTCCTTCGACCAGCCATTAAGTCTACCCACTAGGTAACAGAGGTCCTAAGTAAATCCTTGGAATAAGTGATTATGTTCATAATCACAATTAATAATAACAAGAATAATATAATATACAATAAAGCATCATAAATAAAATAAACATTAAATAACAATTTTAAACCACTTCAGAACACCTGCAATAGCCATATAAAGATGCCCAGGGAATGGTCTTTACCCTAAGCAAGAAAATAGGACATATGATTCCATGTGAAATATTATACTAAACTCTAAACCGCCCTACTTCAAACAGGGTGCACAGGACCTTGACTGCCAAGGCGGCCTCTGGATCAGCTTCCTGGAAGCCTAAGCCCCCAGTTACAGAGTCTGCAAACCACACTAGTGACAACCAGGAGCTCCAGATTTCTGTGTCTTATTCATCGCGACTGTCAGGACTGCAGTGACAGCTTTCTCCAAGGTTTGTAAGGAATAAATAAGATAAATAAAATCCCTTTCACAGTAGGTAGCACACAGTAAGCACTCAATAAATATTAGCCATTATTATCTTTTTTATTAAATTGTCGTCATCTTATTGTATATACTATAAACATAATTATTTATTCTGATTACTTCTCTTTTATTAATTTATTTTTGTTACAGATGTTTCTCCCCCCCTCCCCCCACAGACACCCTCCTCCCTATCCCACCCCCCACCAAGCATTGTTGTCTATGTCCACTGGTTACCCATACATGCATGTAAGTTCTTCGGTTTGTTTCCTCCCTCCCCTGCCCCTCCACCCCTCTTAGACTATAAGTATTCTCCATGTTATCACATACTCTTCATTGGTATATTTTTAATTTAATGGGCCACAAATGGCACTTTAGTTTTATTTTGATTTGGGTTTATATAACAATTAGGGAGAGTAATTATTTTTGCATAGATTTGAGTATTAACTGTATTTTTTTCTTCCTATGTCTGTTTATGAGCCTCATTCAAGACCCCAATGGGAACATCCATGGTTTCTTAAAATTATTAATGTTGACTCAAAGGAAAACAAGCGTACCTTCTGGGCTCCCTGTCTTAAGAAAGTGCTGGCAAAAGCTTCCAAAATGCAGTTGAAAAAGCCAGCCCCCATGATTGAAATCCTGCCTCTTTGAATGAACTCAGTCCTAAAGAAAAACAAAAACAAAAATATACATCTTTGATGTCATTCTACATTTGGATATTTAAACCAAAATAATTTCCAACAGCCTAATTACCACTTATAATCACCACAAAATTATATCCATAGTAATTCAATAATTGCCTGTTACAACAAAAGATTTTGTTAAAGAGAGACTTACAGTTTATATAACAAAAACTACAGTCTTCTTCAGACTAAAAAGATTTGTTTCAAGCTGCTACGAGAGCAGATTTTAAAAGTTCTCACCACACACAAAAAATTGTAACTATGGGAAGTGATGAATGTGTTAACGGACCTCATTGTCATAATCATTTTGCATTATACACATATATCACATCATTACATTGTACACCTTAAACTTACACAATGTTATATGCCAACTGCATCTCAATAAAGCTGGGAAGAAGTGAAAACATGGGTGTGTTATTCTAACAACAGAAGAACATAGGATTTCTGGTCATACCTAATAAAGAATTCCATGATATGATAGTTAATGATCTTTAAAAAGTTGTTCTACTTGATCACAATAAACTAATTCTAAATTAATATATCTATTTATTAATTCTAAATATATATATAATCATTTAATGCTGTATAATGTCTATTAAAATTGAGTCTGAGACAATGATCAGCTGTACGACCTGGAATAACTTAGATTCGTTTAACTGTTTCCTCACAAGCAAATTGGGAATAATCACAGTATCTTCCAGCTATTGTGAGAAGTAAATGAGCTGGTGCATAGAACGGGAACATGAACAATTCCTGACTCACAATGAGCATTCACTCAATGCTAGCCCCATCACTAAAGACAGATAGACAGACAGAGACAGAAAAGCCAGAAGCCTGGAATGACTTCTTTAATCCTTGATTGGAAAGGGAGGTAAAACAGATTAGATGTGCCCCGACCCTATTCACAGTTCTACTAACATTAAGTATCTCCAACTCATAAAACAGAGATTTGGATCACACGTGAGAGTCATGTAAGAAAGATGGCAGAATGGGAAGCCCCAGGCCCTCATTCCCACTTGGAGACACTGACTTAACAACAACTGATGGACCAAATTGCCTTTGTGAGAATTTCATAAACCAGTTAAGAGGGTGTAGCGCCCCAGGAAAGTGCAAAGCACAGCAGAGCCACATCAAAGTGAGTAAGAAAATCAGTTGCATTTACCTGCCACAGCCCCATCTACCGAGCACAGCACAGCACTATCAGGAGAAGACTCCCAGTCCCTGGCTGCTCCACTGGGAGGGGAAGAAGAAAAGCAAAATGTACCTCCAACATCCTGGTTTGACAGGGGGGCTGCCTGAGAAACTGGCTGTGTCCCACCTATTCAGAATGCTGAAGGGAAAGGCAGTATACTTGGGACGCTGGGGGCTGCTAGGAACAAAGCCAAGCATGATGGCTCATCACAGCACCAGAGTCTGCAGACAGACACCAGGAGTGAGGGTCACGCATCAGCAAATGCAGGCAAAGCATTCCACCCACCACAGGACTCAAACTGGTGACCTCTTGGTGCACGGGTCGATGCTCAACCACTGAGACACACCAGCCAGGCTAATAGTCTTTTTATTACAAGAAAATGTAATTCTTCCCACAGGAATGACTGGAGCATAAGGTGGGTGTGGGAAATGTTAGGAGATGAGGCCAGAAAGACAAAGGAGACCACATTGCAGGTGGTCTTCTCAGGCTGAGGAGTTTAGACTCCATCCTGTAGGCAACAAGGACTTCTCTTCTGAGGCACCAAGGAACAGCTACAGACGAACACTTACATGTGCATCCCACTAAAAGGCTTGCTGTCGCTCCTTAATGCTTTTAGACAGTCCCCTGTTCCCCACTTTCAGCACCGTGCCTGCACTCCATGAGTTCAAGGAGCACTTGTTACGTGAATTAATTAATTAAAATTTCTTTACAAGGGTCTACAAAGGAAACATTTCCCCTGCTTTCTTAGACTTCTATGGAAAGGAGACAGAAACCACATCTATTCTGTGCGTATCTGTGTGTGTGTGTGTGTGTGTGTGTGTGTACACATGAGCACATTCACTGACAGTAAGAAAAACATCCTGAGAAAAGTATGGATCCAAAAAGCTGTGATTTTGGTAACAGTAGATATCCAACTTAATAGACTTTCTCTCTAATCTTCTAATATCAGAAAACCAAAGCCTCCAGAACACTTCTCTCTCTCTCTCTCTCTCTCTCTCTCACACACACACACACACACACACACACACACACACACACACACAGATATTCTACCCAATCCTACAGAAAGGGTCTAGACAAATATAGTTATAGTCCAGGCAAAGCAGCTTCCACCACTTAGATTTAAGCCCATTTAAAATGATTTACACACGTGACAATAATCTTTCCTGTCTCTATTCCTGATTAGTCAGGGTAGAATTGAACAGTGATTTTAGTATTTAAAAATGAAAAGTTGAGCAGGCTTACCCTCTTGGGGTAGGTGTACTCTTCAGTCCCCAAGGCACTGCAGGTGAGGGAACACTAAAAGTCTCTCTTACATCATATCCTAAGCGATACTGCTTTTCACAAATTTGGGGAGAAGTGCTCAGAAAAGCCTGCTGAGGGTTTTCCCACACATGGGAGAACAACAGGACAGGAAAGCAGGGTCAAGCCCTTGCCACCTATGTTTATTCTATTACATTTTAAGATAAGAAAATGTTTTACTTCCCATAAATAATTTATTGACAAAGCACATCAGATAATTTCTTACTACATAGAGCTATCCTAAATCCTTCATGCTAAATAAACCTCCATGTAAGCTCCTGTGCAAAACATAGCAGGCCAGCCCGGCCAGTGTGACTCAGTGGTTGAGCATCGGCCCATGCACCAAGAGGCTGCTGGTTCAATTCTGGTCAGGGCACATGTCCAGGTTGTGCGCCCGATCCCCAGTGGGGGGCGTGCAGAAGGCGGCCAGTCAATGTTCTCTCTCATCGATGTTTCTCTCTCCTTCTCCCTTTCTCTCTCTGTAAAGTCAATTAAAAAATTAAAAAGAAAACAACGCAGCAGGCTACACTGCAATATACAGTTTAATCTCAGCTCTTTTTGAAGAAAAAAAAGAAAAGATGAATGGATGGATGGATGGATGGGTAGATGGGTAGATAGATGGATAGAAGGGTGGGTGGATGAACAAACAAATGGAATGAGCTGAAATATTAACAAGAGAATCTCTGGGCATTAGAATTACTTTGTTCCTTTTACTAATTTTCTATGATAAATATGCATTACTTGACAATCACCAAAAATATTAATAATAAGGCCCTGAGGATCATTTTTATATAAATAAAAATTATTTTTTAAAGGCTCTGTGCTACCAAGAACCATTTTTAGCAAAGAAACAGGCTAACTTCTGACTTACCCTCACTTAAAGTCTCAATAAATCACCTGTCGGCTTACCTCTTCCCACACTGTAACCTCGGTTCTTTAGGCCTTTTGTCCTAAGACTTTCACCCACACCCAAGCTTGACATGTTCTGTTTCACTCAAGAGACATAGGTGATTCATTTTCTTCACCTGTCTTTTATTTGTTAAGTCTAAAAGCAGGACTGTATCTCATTATGATGTCATATACATGGGTCACACCTACTCTTCAAAAAACTGCATAGTAACAGTGTATATTATCTATCAGACACTGTATTATCTTCTGAGGTTGTTACTCTTAAATCTTTTATTTTACTGAGTAAACTATGGTAAAGAGAAGTTAAATAACTGGTCCAAGCGCATATAACTTGATGTCATGCAGATTCATGTTCTACCATCCTGAACTCCTGCTCCTCCCTCAGTTAATGACACAACCATCATCTAGTCTTTCAGTTCAGAAATCTCAGCAACATGTTATGTGGTTCCCTCTTCAATCAATCCAAACATTCAACCAGTCAACAAGTTGTGATTTATTTTATTTCTAACATCTCTCAATAGCCAGCGTTCCCTCTCCCTTGTCTCTGCTACTGCCTGGAGTTAGCACAACACTGTCTCTCTCCAGTACCACCCTGGCGGCCTCCCAGCAGCCCATTTCCAATGCAGACACTATCATCCACACTGCTCAAAGTCAGCTTCCTAAGCACACACCAATGTCGTCACTGGCTGTTCACAAAGGAACAAAGAATAAGCCCACATACTCAGTTAAGATCTATCCATCCTGTTGCTTGCAGCTATTGCTTATTCATTTTCATTGCTGTATAGGGTTCTGTTGTTTGAAAATACTCCCTACTATTTATCCACTCTACTGAAGATGGACCTTCAGAATAGACCCCGTTTGGAGCTATAATCAACTGTGCTATAATGAAAATATGTATAACGCATCCAGGTACATGTGTGCATAAGAGTCTCTAGAGAATCTCGCAATGAAATACCCAGGCCACCGGACAGGCACAATTTCAATTTTAATATATAATGCCAAATGTTTTTCTGAACAGCTGTACCTATACATATTTTTTCTTCATTGCATCAATTCCAATTGCAGTGACTAGCACATCGTAGAAAATCAATAATGCCTTAGGAACTATGGATGGAGCAAAGAAGGGAGGATAGGGAAGGAAAGACAAACGGAAAGACAAGAGAAGGGAGAACTGATACTACACCTCAGCACTTCTCTCAGGGAGACTGAACCATCCCCTGGAGAGTTTCACCTGCTGAAGCCAGCAGGGGGCAACCTTCCCCTGGCTGGGAGAGAAGCCACCACAGTCTCAGAAAAGTTATGTACAATGAGGAGGCTCATTTACTCCCGTGGTGCCTGTTATCTGAGTCACATCTATGGGCTTGTCCACAGCAGATGTAATTCAACACAGAACACCATGGAATCGCAACAGAGAAAGCACAGCTCCAATGTCAGAATATCTTGGCGAAAGTGAATGGCAGCTTACACCATCAATCACCTACTCTTGGGTCATGTAAGATTCTGGTTCCTCTTGGATTGGGGAAAATAACAGAGTTCAGAGGAAATGTGGATGGGACATTAATCCCCAGAGCACG